GTGAGGCACCAAAATCACAGAAAGGAAAAAGATCCACCCCATGACTCTCAGCCAAGAGGAAGGAACAACATGCAAAGCAACCACAAAAACAAAACACACAGTCAGGTTAGTAGTATGAAGAACAGAGCAAGCAAAAAAAAGGATGCACTCTTAAGGTTATTCAAAGCCACATGTTGCTACACCTCAATGCCAAGAATGTCTTTGAACAGCTCCTCAGCTGGAAGAAGGATTCTTCATGCTCTCGACCAAAAGAAACAAAGCCCAGCCTGGAAGACTCAGACAGCCATTTCCTTTCATTTCAGGGTGTCAAAGTCCTTCAGTTAGCTTTGAAAATTTTGATTTTGGGAGGTGTCCACCCAGCAGACTGCACTGGAGAACAGAATTACTCAAACAAGCCTTGCTGTTGAAAGCAGAAGTCTTTTCAGCAAGGCTAACCAGACCCATACTACTGTGCTTCCTGAGCAGCTCAGATCAGCCTGGATAAATCTACACTGCACTGCTCTCTGCAAGGTGAACACATCCAGACACCATCCAATCGCAAGGTCAGAGCTCCCACTGAGTTAAGGTGAGCTCTGCAAGGCAGCAGAGTGTGGAGTTTGCCTTCAGGACACTGCAACAGTAGGCACGTCACTGTCCTCCACAAGAAATCCATCACTGGTGGGGAGCGCAGCACGCCAAGAGTGAAAGCGCACAAAAATGTGAAGGCACCTGGGCTAGCCTTCCATTACTGATCACTTTGGCAAGTGTCTTTCATCATGATGGGCTACGAGAGAAAACAAGGGTGTCATCTTTCCTACTGGGCCAGCTGCCCAAGAAGAATGAGCTCTGTAAGCAAATTCCCCACCGCATGCACCAGTCGCCAACGTTAAACTAAAAAAAACGGTAACAGTGAAGACAACTGGGTGGGATCAGGGAAAAAAAAAAAAGATAAAAAAATCATCCCGCCTTTGCAGAAACAAGGTTTTCTGCTTCCAGCTCTGAGATATCTGAGCACCTACCAGCTGCTGAATAGGAGAAACAAACCCATCATGTAACTGGAAGGCGGGGGGCAGAGCGGGGAGGCAAGGGGGTTAAAATAAATAAAAAAGGTTTTATGGGATTATTTCAGAACTTATCGTGCAGATCAGCGCGTTAAGTGTGAGACAGCTCAACGTGCAAGGTTTGGTTATAAACATGACGTTAGCCTTGGAAAGGAGAGACTTCAGGGGCCCAGGTCAGCTACGCTTCCAGCTCCAACCCCAAATACGCTCTCAGCTTCTCCACTGCCACTTCCAACTTGGAAGACTGGCAACCACAGTCCTGGTGGAATTGCCCAACTATGGCTCATGCGTACGCTCTAAGAAAGGTCTGACAGCCCGTCTCTTGGCCTGTGCTGGACAGGGAAGGAATCCTCTGGACAGACTCCACCTCTCCCCTGGAAATCAAGCAGGAAGGCTCCTCTGATGGAAGCCACCTGCAAAAAAGGTCAGGGAGCGGATGGGAGGTCTAGGCTAGAGGGTTCACGTTCACTAAACTTTCTCCTGCTCTCTTTGCAAAGGGCTCTTTTACCAAGTGCTAATAAATCTCAGAATTAAAGGCAGGCAGAAAAATCACTGCTAGATACAACATCCAGGATAGATGATCAGCTTGAGCAAAATGAGTCTTGGATCAGGACCCTCTTACTTGTGCCTGGAAGGAGCACAGCCAGGAAGAGCTCAATTGGCTGTGTTCACTGCCAGCCCTGCCCAGCGTGTCCCAGAGAACGAGCAAACAACGGTGTATAAGACAACCAGGACTAGCCACAAGGCAGCTGTAACCACCGCTTCCTTCACTCAGCTGGCAAAGGGCACCTGTCACTTCCCAACCTCTCAGGTTACTTGCTATTTTAAAAGCAAAAGTCATGGAAGCAAGTTGGCAGACTGAGGATATGCCACCCTGACACTGCTCAGTTGCAAGCATGAAGATGGGCACTTTTCACATATACAAAGATGCTTCTTACTAGGTTTTCTAAATGATCACTTTGAATACTGGCATAAAAGCATAGGGCAATAAGTTGGTTTTGTACTCCCACAGCAGCTGAAAACCAAATGACTTTCCATTTGACCCTCACAGGAAGCAGAACCTACTGTCCTGTTCTTCCAAGGTGAGCAAAAACCTTGGAGATCACACAAATAGCCAGTGGCAGAGTGGGGAAGAGAACTTGGGAATCCCTTAGCAACTGACAAGACACCACCATCACTCTATCCCCGGCAGAGCAACACGTCATTCTACCTTCCTCTGCCAAAATAAAATTACAATAATAATAAAAAATAAAATCAACATGCACTTAACCGATATTTTATTGAAACTTAACAAACTTGTCCGTAAAATTGAGAATGGGAGGGAGGACATAAAAAGAAACAGCTACAAACTCTCGTTCTGAAAAACACTGGTGTCTTGGAAATCATGAGGCACGCTGGAAATGTCACTTGCGAGATATACGCTGCTATTGGCACAGGGTATTTTTACAATATATGTGCATATCTAAATGGTAAATATGTCTTGCCACTGATGTGGATGCAAAGACAAATATGCGCATACCAATGGCCCGCATGTATGGATGCATTTGTATCACAGACATAATTGCAGAGAGCCCTTTATGCTGCCTACTCTGCTGTTTCAGCATTCTGCTCTGTATGTACTAGCCATGTGTGAAAATTATGACGGTCCAAAGTCTCAGAGAGGCAGCTAAGAGGGCTGATGGACGGGGGTGGTTGGGAGAGGAGGCAGGAACGAGAAGAGCCCTCAAAATTAAGATGCTAGTAGCCTCAGTGGGGACAAGACCAGGGAATACAAGTCAAATCCTTCCGCTGGAAGAAGCTCCATCATAAATCGCATCTGTGTCTCTAAAAGGCTCCATTTTAAACACACCAGAGCTTTTCAATGGTCGTAATTTAATCTCGGAATCCTCAAGAACTGAGTTATAATGATCATCTTTGAGCCTGTAAACTCAGGATGAAAGGGCTCTGGTCTCGGCATGGAAGTCCCCTGATGCTATAGTTGAGACCAAAGAACACCAGAAAAACAACACTCATTGCGGCCTGGAGCAGTGTGGAACAGTGGTTCATCTTCAGCCTCTGTACATCTTATCAAACCCAAGACCTATCACCACCATTCCTTAGTGCTGAGTTTCTATCAAGTCAACAATAACTCCAGGAAAAGTGATGGATATATTTAAAATGAAACAAGCCATGGCACTCAGATCTTGCTATCGGGTGAAAGTCTACATGTACACAATGCCAGCAAAGGGATCTCTTCAATCCCTAAACAAAACTCACTTGAAGTTTGACTCCAATTAAAAAATCCTCACAAGCTTGATTGCTGGTATTTTTACACCACCTCCAAGTCTTCAGGGTGCTCACTCGCCAGCTTCTCAAATGCCAACAACTTTTGAGAGTTCCCACTTCCAACTCGCATTCTCCAGGATGTCTAACTAGTCCTTCTTTCTAAAATACGTGACAATTCAAGGAGTGTCAATAATAAACCAACACGGAAATGGTGTTCTTCAGAGATGAAATCAAATCATCTTCATCTGCTGCTTCATTCCACTCTCCACCAGGCAGGTGGACATCTAGCACACTAAACCACTCAAGTCAGCTTTGGTCCTGTATACAAGACTCCTACCTGAAGTCAATGGCACTGACACCCATGCACCAAGAGCACAGAATCCAACCTCCCCTCAGATACAGGACCTAACTTTTCCTTGTGCTCCTACCACGGTCAAAGATGATGGAAGAACCAGACAGACCATGCAGCTCCCCAGCTGGACAGAGCCACGGAGTTTGACATCAGGTCTAAAAACAAAGAAAAAAATTCTGAGCAAGCCCAGCAGGGCATTTTTTTGTTCCTTTTCCACTTGCCAAGCAATGCTCAGCTATGATCAGAATAATCTCTCCATTGAAGCTCGTGCTTCAGAGTCCTCTCTGACCCTGCACTCTGGCACTCTCTGAACAAGTGGTGTCACAAAAAATGGAGGAAGGCAGAGAAGAGAGAGGACACAGAGCACAGCAACAATCAAGTCAGTGCCAGATGAAGTACATTTCCAGAAAGCACGATCGCCTCCATCAGCAGCTTTGCAAGAAGGTTTTCTCAAAACAAAAAGGTGAATAGGGAAGAAAAAAAAAAAGCCCAGGACATTTTTGGCTGCTTTGCACGGAAGATTTCACTGGATGTCATCACCTGTGCATGGTCCTCGAGGACTCTGGTTGGCCAAAGGGTTTGTCCACATTAAATAATCTTCACTTGCCATGTGGTTTTTGTGCTGAGATCGTCCAGACAATCAAAGTGAGTTTGGGGAGTTGTTAGCCCAAATGAGCCAGACATCTCAGCTTATTTGAACATCTGGCTGATAAAGCCCAACTGTGCGTATTCGGGATGAAAAGGTGTTTGACATTCAGGCCTGGGTGACTGAGGATGGGGGACCCTGCTTCAGAACGTGCCAGATGGCTAGACAGATGCAATCCTTGCCCTTGTCAATGTGTGGCCAATCTCTTTGACTGACTGTAGCCATTCACCGATCTCTGGTAACGTGGGCACCAACGCAGAGAACAGATGGGCCTGAGTAGCCACAGCAGAAATGAATTTAGCTCCCGTCCCAGGTCCCATCACATCCACATCCTCTTCCAACACCACAGCTCTCCAGGGACTACATTGCTGGTTGCTTCTTTCTCATGACCTGTCCCTCTGCCTACTCTCTTTTTTTCAACATGCCTTTATTTCAATGAGAAGGCCCCCAAAATTCCCAGCAAATCAAGTCTTTGTTCAGCCTCCTTCCTCCCCAAAGCCTCAGACAATGATCTGAAAATGGAAAGAAGCCTGCAGTGTAATAGGAGAGGCACCATCCATGTTAGTTCTTCACCTCTCCATCCACTTCCATGTTCCTCCCAAAGACTGAAAGTGACCAGATCCCGCCCAGGGTGATTCAGCACATTTGAGGACTGGATCCTCAAGGGCCTTGACACCACCCTCTAAATCTTTAATGGATGGTACGTGCTGTACCTAGCACGTACAGGTATGCCCCTTGCTACTAGCCCCTACAAGAGGGACCTGAAGCAGGGAAGGTCACACAACTTCAAATGTCATCAGGACATGCCTTTGCCCAATACAACATAGCGCAGGGATGGTTGATGGAGCTGTTATGGCCACATGGCTTAGCTGGGGAGATCTCAACCTGGCATACCACTGTTGGAGGTAAAATCCTGAGATGCTTCCAGCTGCCTTCTCAGGAGAGGACCACAAGGACATCCACTCCCACTATCACTGCAAGCTGACCCAGAGACTATTGTGGTGCTGAAAAGAGGGGTGTCCACCCTGCTCTCCCGTCCCACAGCTGCAGCTTCCAGGGAAGGTGGTGGGAACTGGTGGTCTAGGTTAGAGCACACTTCGTTTCGAGCAGAAAAAGGATCTTCATGGCCTGAGAGTTCCCCTCACTCTAATGTGCTGCTTTACCACATTAGGTACATGAAAAGAGGCCGATGTTTCTGGAGTACAGACAAGTTAGCCAGAAAGAGGACCCAGGAGTTCAAGTCTTACACGTTAATAACAAGACTATTTGTCCTTCCTTGAAAGTGTAGTGTTATCCAGGGATTATCTTAGTCGTTTACTGCAGGGTACTGGCCAATTTATCTTCAAAATAGCTACGTTACTGCCTGTGGGGAAGTCGCAGAAAGAGACTTGCACTGGAGCAGTATTTAACTGGGCAGGCACTAGGGAAATGCCTATTCCACTGTATGTAGGCCAGATCCAAACCCATGCAAGTGATGTGGAGCTTTTCCCTCGCTATTCCAGGGTGTTGGTTCTGACTCCAATTGAAGAAAGACGAAAAGAACGAAAGCCGTGCCCTTTTGTTCCAAGCTAGTGTGGACTGCAGGACAATATCACATGCAGGAGGGTATCTCTGACAACACACACATTTCTGCTGTCTATCCTCCAGGCTTTTCTAAATGGGAAGGGGAGCTTTAACATCAACAGACTGCTTCTGATCAAGTATTTTGAGTGAGCTGTTCGCAAAGGATGACATTTTTAAAACTGCAGCTAAATCTTTAGCAGTTAAAACAATGGAAGGGAAAGAAAAAAAAGTCAAAAAGAATCAAACAAAATTCTCGCAAACCATCTATCCCTGCAGAACTCTACAACTTCCTCCCGAACCTTCTATGCACCTCACCAAAACCAGAGCCAGCAGCACAGCTTGCTCTGGCTACAATGCGGCCCATCACAGACAACCCTGTGCATGTGGAGGTGCGAAGGATGCCTCGCAGCAATGTTTCTGACCTTGAAACAAAAGCTGCAACATCTCCTGCTCCAGGTGGACTAACAGTCCCCTAGCAGGTTACAAGCCCCCTGGAAGATAAGGGGTCGTGTGTAAGAGCTTCTCTCCACAGCCCAACTAAATAAAACCACCAAATGCTTCTGTGCAAACTGTCACATGAGTCCCTGGGAGGGGTGGACGAGCTCCCCAGCACAGAGATCAACCACCATTTACCACCTGAGCTCCTGGATAACAGACGGTCTTTCCCCTCCCGTGGAGGGCTGGTTTGGGAAATCAGCCAGAAACCCACAATGGTGTTTTTCCATTTGTTTGACCCTTGGCTCTGCTTTGGGTCTTACCAGTATTTGTATGATGTACCACCAATGGTGTGTTCAACATCTGCCTTCTCTTCCCACCCACCGCCCTTTCCATTCCTCCATTGTTTCCTTCCTCTTAGTAGCCTACCTGGTAACAGCATGCTTCATGCCCTGAGGAAAGGGTATTGAGATCAGACACCAAACTCAAAGACACGTGAGTGACACATTCCCATTCTCCCTCCCACCCCTAAAAAGAAAACAGACACACAGAGATTTGTACGGATAATTTTAGGAACATGGCACCCATGAAGTTAACTTCTTTTCCTTTTAATTGGGTCCCAATTTTCCCATCTCTTTTGGGAGCTGAACACAACCAGAACAAAGCATGCCAACCACAGGCTAGGTTCACTTTTGGATCGGCTGGTCTTGCAGCAGACACTGCAAACAAACTAGGCATCGTTCTCTACAGGAGGAGTTGAAATCTGGGCAAAGTGCTCTGTGTCTTTGACCGTCTAAACAAATAAAGTGGAAACCACACAAATGGGGAGGAGAGGGGGAAAGGGAAGGGGGAAAGGGAACAAAGCAACCCATGGATTTCAGTATTTTCTGTACTGACAGAAAAGGAAAATAAAATTCACACAGAGCACGCTCTTGCAGGTGATCCAGACACTGTCATGTAAGCAGTCAAAGATAATCACAGCAGAAGGAAAACCAAAGGATAAAAATGTACCCCAGACAACCCTCAAAATGACCCAAAATGGCATGAGCTAGGACATCCCACAAGTCTTGGGTTCTATTAGCTAGAGCCATTCATGCTTTCAGCCCCTAGTGAAACAGAACAAGTATGCAAGGACTTTATTTTTTCTTCTTTTTTTACCTCCCCCTCACCCAAAAAAATAAGTAAGCAATCCAAGCAATTTTTTTCTAGTCATTTTCCTGGATTTTGTGTTTATCATCCATGCATATAACCCCCCAGTATGTCAACCATCAGTCATACGGTCTGATCGCATCGTTTTTTGAACGAAAAACAGAACCCTTGGAAAGGGGATCCAAGAAAAAAAAAGAAATGAAAGGAAAGTATCCTCCCCTAAAGCAATCCCAAAATTTAGAAACCCATCTATCCTTTTTTTTTAAAGACCAAAAAAGCAAGCCAATCAAAAAAAAAAAAAAGCAGAAAACCAAGGGGAGAGAATAAGAGAGAGAGAGAGAAAGATTAGAGGGAGGGGAAAAAATAAACAAAAAACCAAACAACTAACAACCCAAAATAAAAAAAAAAACTAACCAGCTGAATTGGGAGTTGAGGGTGAGTTAGCCTGGCTTCCATGGGCTGACACATTGGTAGCCGTGACAGCCGTTTTGGCAGCATAAATATTGGCTTCCTCTTGAAATTTACCTATGTTCTTCTTGTACCGGATTCTCTTATTTCCAAACCAGTTTGATACCTAGAGCGAGTTTAAGAAAAGACAAAGGCATTAAAGTTTCAGCTCTGGAAAGCGTGACTGGGTGAGGAAGGTGGATTAATTCAGTTTAAGCTGTGCACATTCTTTTTTTCCCCCCGGTTTTCACAGGAAATGTGAATATATGGAGGGGGGCACCTTCTGCTTGCTTGTATCACACCAACCCCAGGAATGGTAGTCAGACCCACTTGGGAAAGCCGAGTTTGTGTGGATACATCTCGTTCCTCTATGGATGTGATTTCCACTAATGGGACACTCTACAGTAACTGCTAACCCCCACCACAGAAACACAAATAAACATCAGATGGGTTTAAAAAACTGAGCAAGCAAAACAGCCCTGAAATGGCAAAATTTAAAAATGAACACGTATTATTTTAGTACTTTTTATTTGCCTCATCTTCGGTGTCCCTTTGACAAGGACAGCAGTTCAATGCATTTCCTCCTGCTCCTTTCCCAGGTGTCCCGTTCCTTCCCTGTAGAGAAGCTTGTGTGGCTCTCAGGAAAAATCCCCAAAGAATTTATTGACCAGGACCCAGCTTGCTGCGTGAGATACTCGGGCCTGGATGACACACAAACTTGCCTTGATATCACTTAAGCTCTTGCTTTCAATCTGTCTGAGTTAAATCAGTGCAAAAACCCAGAACTGAACACTCTTAATCCAGCTGAAATCTGCCTTGTACTGGTTTAGCGTGAACTGCTATATAAATTGGGAGCCAAGAACATGTTCAGAAGACTGGAAAGGCAGCATTAGGCACATCAGAAGATCTAACTTTGGTCCCAGGAAACAACTGAGTCCTTTAGAAAGTGGGTATTTAAGATAGCTGAGATGACTTCCACTTCCTTTCTGATTTCTGTTTCACGCATCCCAGCTATGCTCAAGCCCAGCTGTCAGCTCAGATCTTGTGTCCCCACCCCTCAAAAAGTCCTCTGGGACATGAGGGAGGCAGGCAGAGACTCTACGGGAGTTGTTTCCACTGTGGTTTCCTAGAGACCTTTACGTGCCTGGTGACTTCAAGTGCCTAAAAGTGCACTGAATGGGATTGGTTGATTTATTACAAACTTGAAGAAGCAGCCAGAAACGATGGGCCAGATCTGATGTTGGAGTGAAGCAGCGTAGCTCTGCTCATGCCAAACCTGGTGTTTTCCTGGCTCTGCAGCAGCACAATGCACAGTCCTCAGAAAGCCTCCAAAAGAAGTCGAGCAGGTGATCTTCACAGACTATAAAGGTGGCATCCTGGGATTAGCACTGTCAATGCTTAAAAATACCGTGCCTTGGAGAACCCATCAGACATCTGGATAAACACCCCAAAGTTTGCATGTCAGAATCTCAGCGCAGTGATAGGAAAGTCTCAAGTCTGTGATATCCAGCTGCAGTACCCTGCCAGCGCTGCTTCTCTACGGAAAATGTAAGGGCAACCTCCGAACCACTACAAACTCTTTACCAAAAATCCCACCCAGAACCCTGCTGACAATACCTTATTCATGGACACTATGTCACAACCAACAATTTCACAGAAGACATGGGAAAGATTCAGTCTAGATTTTGGGAAGCAGCTCTCATCTTCTTCATGGACATCACTGAACAGAGAGATTTGGGGGAATCTAAAGAGAAGACAACTTCCAGCTGCTATTGACTTCGAGTTACAAAGCTCAACAGGATGAGGAGGCTACATGGTCAAATGCCTGAGGATGCTGTTGGAGCTCCTGGGAGAGCTCCAACCCTTCCTGGGATTGCTTGGGGTGCAAACCTGAGCTGGGACTCAGAGAAGAACGACCTCTTTGTCCTGATTCCAAGGACATCGTCCCTTTGCTCGCTGGTAACACTGCCAAAGCAGTACATCAGTGCTCCCCCTTCCAAAAGGACTGCTCAAGTGCCAAGACACAGAAGACAAGACGGGATGTTCATTCTAGGGAGTTTACCAATTTTTTCCTCACCTCAGGGAAAATCTTTTGGCTTGAATGTTGATAGCTGAAATCTGGAAGGTTTTATTCCTTCCAGAAAATCTGGAAGGTTTTCTATCTCTAGCGCTCCTAGAGTGCTCAGCAGCTTCTATACAGAAGTGACTTCATCCACTACCAGCTACGGAACTGCACATACCCAGCCCTACACTGCTGCAGGGCAGGATAAAGAAAATATCCAGAGACTCCAGGTGATGTTGGGAGGCAGAAGGTAACGATTCAAATCAGCACCCAACCCAGATCAGAGAGAGAACATTGCAAGAAGAGCCACAGCACCAGGAGCAAGCACTGGAGCTCCATTCCACTTCTCCTTCCAGCTTCCTCACTAATGCCAATGTGCTTCTTTGAGAACTTCCCACATGGCCATCTCTCTGCAACAGATATTCCGGCTTCAAATGCTGGAGCCAGTTGGTGAAATCCTCTGAGCTCCACTGGGAAGTCAAAATACATGGCCACCATGATTCATCTTCATCTCAAAACCTGTGAAGCAAAGAACCTGCCTAACCCTGGTCAGCCTTGGAGCTCAGCTCATGACTTGTGCAGACTCATGCATCCCATACTCCCACCCAGTCTTAGCAAAAACAGAAACTTGCATCTGCTTTTGTCTCTACCTTCTTTGGATGAACAGCCAGGTAGAGAAAGGGAGATCCTAGGGGCAAGGCACAATGCAGTCTTGATTTAGCACAGTTAGAAATACCATAAATGTAGCGTTTCTCCTGGGCATTTTCTCTTTGCAAGGCAGAAGTTGTAAGTATGAACGGATCAATTAAAAGTGGTGGAGGAAGCTTCAGGAAATCTCTAGCTTTACTTGAGCCAGTGTGTCCTTTCTCTTGTAGGTGACTCCGAGCAGAACCGATGTTTGGGTCTTCTAACACAGGGGATACAGCGGAGTCACTCAGCAGGCATTACACACAATCGTGATACCTCCCCTTGGATGCTGTTGCTCCTGTTGAGGGCAGACAAGCTCCTGCAAGGACACCCAATGCTATTGCTGTCTTCAGCTTACTCAAGCGGTGACTGGGCACGTGTCTGGGCAGGGAAGAGCCCCCAGATGGCAAACACAAAGGGAACCTAGAGGAAGCGCCAAGTTCGGATGAAGACGAAACTACAGGCCTTGTAGACTGGCTTCCAAACATGCGGAGTGCTCCAAAAAGAGAAGAAATAAAAGGGCAGGCCTCAACAATGCACAGTTGAACACTCCAAGGACTGACTGTACTCTCATGACTCCTGGAAGCTCCCAGGTCAGAGCTACAGGCTCCAGAAACTATGTGGCTGCCTCAAAGGTATGCATATAATTCAAGCTGTCTTTGCCTCTGTGGGTCACACCACATCATTTCTATGCAAGTAACACCTTGGCTGCACACTGCACATCCAGCCATTGCTCATTAAGTCTTCCTCCCTTTCAAGTCCTCTCCAAAATTCTTTTTCTTTCACCCACAGCTTCATCCTGCAAATCTGCCCTCTCCTGCCCACTTACACTACTTCATTCAAAACCAAGCACTCATTAATTTGGTATTTAAATACTCGGCACTAGGAAATAACTGACTTTGCTGAGGTCTGGGCTGGCTTTCAAAATGACAAGGTTTCCTGTTAGTGGTAGCCATCTTCATTGTATCTTCGGGCTCTTACCTGTGAGACTGTGATGCCGCATTTCTTGGCTAGCTCTTCTTTGGCTTCCTCACTGGGGTAAGGGTTGCTGAGATGCGAATAGAAATACTCATTCAGGATTTCCGTAGCCTGCTTGTTGAAGTTTCGTCTCTTCCGCCTTGGCGTGAAAAAAGATGGAAAAACAGAACAAAAAGAAAAGGGAATCAGTGCCAGGGATCCAGAAACAAAAATGCAATTTCGATACTCTCTGACCTTTCTCACTTCCCTCCCTCCTTCCCTTGCTCCTGGGAGCATCGCATGCAATAGACTCATGGTCAGGAAACCTCTAATCTGGACCTTGTTGGCAACTCTTCTCTCAGCACCTTCCAGAGCAAATAAGTCTCTTTCTCACATTATCGCTGCATCCTCCAGCTTGCAGAAGTCTTAAAACTGGCAACCAGCCCCTACACCTGGGAAGTCTGGTTGCCCTGGCTAAAGATGTCAGTACTACTCTGCAAGGGTCTGTGTGGAAAAAGCACTGAAGGATATAAACTTGGTGAGGTTTGTTCCGCTTACAGCTAGACACTAGCCATCTGTTACCTCTTCCCAAGTGCCCTCAAATCATAGCTGCCTCCCCCTCCCATTCCAAGCCACAGGCCAAGCCTTTAGCCTGCATGTAACTGGCTTAGGGAGTGAAAATAATTCTGCAGCATGATGAAAATCTGGGACAAAGACAACGGAGGGAAAAGCACAGGAAACTAGAGGGGACAGGATGGGCTGGAGGATTATCTTTCATCCTCAACTGAAGCGCACACCTTGAGGTTTGTTGTGATACACCACAGAATTTTCTTTTGCCACAGCAAAATCATCAACACGCAATTCTCCAGCTACAGCTGGGATCCTCCCTGAGATAGGAGTTGTGTGTGCCTTGTATCGCTATTCTTCCCTCCCCTGCCAGGCCCCAGACAACCAAGGGCTGAGGAAGCTAAGTAGCTCCTGCAGCTCAGGGCCAAGGCACACTGCCCTGCAAATGGACCTTGATTCACTCCAGAACCTCGAAACACCTCTCCCAGGCCCAAACAATATTGCACCTCCACCCTGACCCTTTGTTTTCACAGCCATTCATCCAGAAAACCCAGTGCCCCAGACCCATCTCATCTTTCCATTCACAGACCCAGAAGAGAACGTGGATGCCTTCTGCCGTGACTCCGTAAGGCGCCTTCCCACCCACAGTGGAGACCGTAGGCATGGAGGAGGGTTTCGGGGAGTGCGCTTACCGCGCGTCCAGAAATCGGGAGCGCAAGATCATGACGGCTTCACACGTGCTTTGCTTCAGCTGCATCTGGATGGAGCTGAACTTGCGGTGGATGATGCTCACCATTCGCTCTATCTCCTTCGGTGAGATTGGTCGGGTCCGGCTCTGTTCACGCAGCAGGTTCATCACATGGGTGGTGAATTCGTTGCATGCCTGGGATGGCAAGAAAAGCAAAAGAAACCCCAGGATCGGAATGTCATTCGACGGTGTCAAGGACAGGACAGAGGCAACACAGCTAAGGAGGGACACATAGGTAGAGGCCTCACCACTGAGTTGTGAGGTCGAGGTTTGTCAGGCCAGACCCAAGGAAAGGATGTGTTGCCTCTCAGGAGAGCAATGAATTTCTCTTGCCTGCAAGGCAGAGGGCACGAGAGACTCCCAACAGACACAGAGGGAAAGGCAGGAGCCAAATTCCTTGCGGTCAGGGGTCATGGATGGACCTAGGCTAAGTAAAACCCTAGGACTCACGGGAAGCATGAAGAAATCCCAGCCTTTACGCTGCTTTTCCAGATGGGACTGGAGGAGTTATAGATGTATCTGGGGAGAATCATGAACCTTTCAATCCTTCATCCCTCCTCCTGCTGCCCCAGGCAGACTCCAGCACCTGGTGCCCGCGGAGCCACCTCCGCGCTTCACAAGAAGAGCTCTCAAGAGAGACACAACCCTGCTCTGGGCTTTTAGCACATCTGATAAGAAGTAAATAATGACAATAATTAAAGCCTGAATGAGACAGGAGCCCTGACAGGAAAGAGCAAGCAGGTAATAACCCAAATGAGATTCTTCCTGGCATAGCACTGTCCAGCTGCTCCTGCTGCCCCCTTGCCATCTTGTGAAGGCAGGGCAGAGAGAGCAGTAGGAGGCTGAAAGGAGGGATTTTGAAGCCAGATAAAAGGTGACTTCTCAGCCCAACCACCTGTCCTGGGACAGGATGAAAAGAGAACTGCTTGCAAGCTAGAGACAGCATGTGACACCATGTTGCTAACTCTGCTGTCCTCCACGTGGTCCACAGCCCAGCCAGCCCAGGTGGGGTCTTTTCTCTCTCCCTGCATCCCCTGGCACCTCGCTGTTAGGACAGAAATCCTCCGATTCCCAGAACCAGTCTGGGATCCAGGCCGCCAAAAACCAGGCCAAGAGCAGCACTCAAACACTGATGGCTCCAGAAGTTTCAGGTGCTCCTGGGACACGGGGAGCTGCTCTGGGGGGCAGTGTCCCGGTTCCCATGCCATGATGGGATAAAAGGGATATAAGGGGAAAGAAACACTGATTTTGCGGACTGATGGCACAGACTTGACTTAACGTCTTTCCCATCACGCACTTCCAAGCTTCTCAAGCAGTTTCTCCCCCTCTATTCAACATCCACAGAGCCTGCTCATGACTAGTCTGGGAGGTGACGAGTCCCTGCCCACACCTCTGTGGCTCAGACCCAACAGGGAGATGTCACTAAGGTCAGCAGAGCCCCAGAAACTGCCCATCATCAGCTTCAATTGACAGCTCTGATCTCCCCCGGGCGGAGGGTGCCAGCTGAGCAGGGGGTTACTAGAGCTCTGAGCCAGGCGACTCTTTGCTCCCAGACGCCTGAGCAATTTCAGCTTGTCTCCTCTTCACGTGAAATAAGAGCATTAAAGGCAAAATTGCAGGAGAGAGCCGTGCTGTCACAGCAACAGCCAGACACCATGTGAAGCCAGGCGCTGAGCTCCCTCCAGCCAGTGATGGTGCTCTGCTCCAAATGCCCTGCTGATAAGACAAGAAATAGGGGCACGTAGGTCGAAAACCACATCTGAACCCTGGCTCTGCAGAAGGACTGCAGGGGTGCAGGTGACAACACCAGCTCTGCTTTGCCACAGCTGCAAAATGTGGCCTGACACATCCATTTGCAAAGCATTTTTGTGGTAAAAGTGACAACCTAAGCGGGCTGCAAGACTGAACAAGCCAGAGGGAAAGCTCTGGGTGAGCCATGGGATACAGCAGGGAAGATGCAGCCTCTCTCACCCAAGGGGGCTGGTGGTAAACACTCCTCTCAACTGGGGGTCTGCTTTGAGGGGCAAAAATGATGCAGAAAGAAAAACAGAAAAACAACACAAACAAATACCCCCCCACCCACAGAAGGAAAGAACAGAAATGCCTTCTGCAAAGCTTGGGCCCGGCTGTGCTCTTGGAGGAGTCCTCCCTGGCCCTGATGTTCAGGTAGCTCTCCTTGGGCTTGGATGCCAGAAGATGTGGGGGGGTCTCTCTCTCCCCCCCTTCAGCTTGGGGCCTGAAAGATGAGCTCGGACATGCTCTCCACCCCTACTCACAGGAGAAGGCTGAGGAGCCCTTGCGCCGTGCCACCCGATGTATGCGCCTCGAGGGAGCGGCAGCAACGGCTGAGGACAGACACGAAAGGTCACCCTTGCAACTTCCTCCCTGCCCGTTCCCTCTGCCTGGCCACCCCTTCTCGTTCCTCGTTTAAGGCACTGTGAAAACACCTTACTGACATGACCACGCTTTGCCTCTCAAACTCCAGTACTGACTCCAGCTCCAAATTACAGACACCCATCTAAAATAACGAGACCCGTATAGTGCTAAACGAAGACCTTCTCCTTCCTCCTGCCCCAGGGTGGAGGCCTGAAGACGCTGCTCAGCAGCCTTAGCTTGGGCAACCAGACACCTGAAGAAGTGAGACATCCCTAGCCCCACCACGCACGCAGTTATCTGGGCAAAACGGCCTGCCACGGCCCGGCTCGCTTGCTCCCAGCAAAGTGGGTCTGCTGCAGCTGCGCCCCGGTACGGACCCCAGCGCCAACCTTGGCTCACAGCCCTGGTCGCGTCGGCAAAGCATGGAGCTAAACCAGAGAGCCGAAAACCCAGGCTGGCCCCTGGCCGCGGAGCCAGTCGTCTTCCCAAAACGAGGGATACTTTCTTGCTCACGCTCTGTAAACCGCAACCCGCTAGGTAGAAACCACATTCATCACAACGGCAAGTCGCGCGGCAGAGAGGAGAGGTCTGCAAAACATCTGGAAGCGTTTGAAAGAAACCAATTTTGAGTTTTGGTCTGCAAAGCTGCTCATGCAATTGTCAGTGTTACTAATAGTTGTGTTCATGACCCAAATAGTTTTTCTTCCTTTCTTTTTTTTTTTAAAGAATCATTTTCCACAGGAAAAAAGCCACACTGTTTTTTTTTTTCCCCCCCTTCTGGAAAGCTAACTTTTCAGACAGAAGAAATATTCAAGGAAGATTCTGCTTCAAGCACCGCTTAGGTTTCCCTGAAAAACTGCCTATAACGAGGCAAACAACTCAAAAAGAAGTCCCCTGCACAGGGCCAGTTTTAGGCAAAGTGTTAGGGAAGGAGTAAAGAAAATAAAAGGGGCCATAAAGGCTGAGCCCGTTTGCATAGCCTGAGAAAACAAAAAAACAAAAACATAAAGACACAAACAACAAAAAAATCCACAAAAAACCCCCTCCCAACCCCTAAAACCCGACGTTTTGGCTACAAAACAAAGCAACAGTTTGCATCTGCCCGCACGCGCTTTAACAACAGATGTCAGTAGCGTCCCAGGCTGCGCGCATCCGCCCGCCGCGGCCGGCCCCGGCGCGAATGAGCCTGTTACCTGCTCGTACTTCTCCAGCTCCGTGTGGTAGATCTGCCGGATCTGCGAGAGTTTGGCTCTGTAGTCGGAGTGCTCCACCGAGTTGTCGGAGCCGGCCCCG